ATAAAAATATCTATGAATTATTATATTAATTGTTCGTAAGGATTATAAAAACTTATTGTGGTTTTTTATGGACAGAGGAAAAAACGTATTTTTCAATTCAGTTAAGTAAAAAAAAAATAACATAATAACTATTAGAAAAATAAAAATTATTATTCTCAAATCTAGACAATATATATATATGGATGGATGGGAGTGAGTGCTTTTCAAGATGAGACGTCTGACTCAAAGATTTTTTGCAGATTCCATATTTATATGGTTTTTCATACATTAAAGCCGCATTTGCGTGAATTTTCTTTACGATGCGTCAGTACTTGATTTTATTTATTGATTTTATCCACGTGTACTATAAAACAGCGATTTTACGCAAAAACTGAATAATATTTTTTCCTCCAGATTTTCCAGGCGCACACTGAAAAACCAAAATTTCTTAAAATCAAGAAAATATTTATTGTTTAAATTAAATAATTTCTTTTGAAATAATAATATTTTTTCACATCGAGAAAATTTCTTTCTCTCTTGGAATGATTATTTGCTTGAACCCCAGACATTTTTTTTCACACTAAACACAAAATTGTATTAGACGATCGATACACGGATAAATGGCTATGAGAAAGAAAAAAGAAACCAAATGTTTTGCGATGAATGTGCAGCGACGCGATAAGATTACGTTTTCTCATTTCTAATTGTTTCTCGCGTAAAACACACAGCCTGCAAGGCGTGCTGTAACTCGGACTTTATGCAACGAGATCCATGCAACCGTATATAGGTATTATTATGTATGAACCATCAAAATGGCGAGTCGAAATTAAGCACCTGTCAGCTCTTTTTGTATTTTCAGACAAGCCGGCTGATGGTATACATATACATTTACTTTGCTCAAGTCTATATCTTTTTCGTACTTTCATTTGTCAATGCACAAGTAAATATTCGTCAATGACGGAATTTTTAGTATAGGTTTAGTGCAGAGGTGAACATGCACTACGAAACTCTGTGAACAATTGCTTTAGTACTGGACATAGTTTTCAGCAATGTCAGCTTTTTCTAATATTATTACTTATAATTGAAAAGTTATCCACTTCGTTTATTTATTTCTCACAGAGAATATTCACAATAAATTCGGCAATGATGTTCATGCTAAGTTACATAAAAACATTATTTTGTTACAGTAGATTGATGTTTTGAAGACAACAAAAATTTATAGCAATAAAAACTGTTTGAACGCACTTTAATGTTAGTGTATAACTAGTAACCAATCGAATGAAATCTGAATTCTTTGGTGAGACATAACCATGGATTATAATTTATAATAAACTTCAAGTTTCTTTGACTTAAAACCTAGGACAATCAAAACAATAATTGAGAATGATTTTATTCATTTTATTTAAAAATATAAATGTAACTATACAACAAAAATAATGGCAAAAATTTAGGATGAACAATAAGAGTAAAATACCGTTTATGGCTAATTAATTTAATTTGAACTCATTGGTATTCCGATATAAATGTAGTTAATTCTTTGATACCGTTTAAGTAGAGCAGTGATCAGCGAAAAATTCTACAAGGATTTAGAGGCTTACGCAAATACAGTTAACAGAATGGGATTCAAATAAATTCATTTTATTTCAATAAACATTTTCGTTATTGTATTTAAAAGTACAAAACTGGTATTATAAGCTAAGAGTAATTATTACACATATTGAAAAATGTACATACAGTATTTCAAAAATATTTCAAGTCCTATTTTTTCAATCTTAGATTTTACGGAATCACTCCTAGTATAGCTTAACGGATTCAATCGTTAAAAATAATAGAAACTCACATTAATGATTATATCGGACACTCTTATTGATTAGAATGTAGTTGTTTTGCTAATGCAAAGGGGTGATTAAATAGTAAAATAATTAAAAAAAATAGTTGAAAAAAAAAAAATTAATTTCTTAAATCTAAGCATCTTCAACAGCCTCAGCTTCATTCACCGTACCCTCTTCTTTATCACCATTCTGTTCTGCTGCTTTGCCTTTTGCGGCAGCTTTGGTCTTCTTTGCTGGTGCTTTGCCACCTTTGCCTTTTTTGGCAGCTTTAGGAGCAACTTCTTTTTCTTCGGCTTCATCTTTGCCGTTCTCTACAGACTCGACACCATTTTCTTTTGACTCAACTTCGTCTTCAACTTCCTCATCTTTTTCTGATTCTCCGGCGTCACTGTCTGTTTCTTTTTTCCCCCGCCCTTTTTTGGCAGCTGAAAGAACAACAAATTGGTTCAATTTTTTTATTAATGTTGAGAATATGAAATTAAAAATAACTGTTTTATTCCAATTGAAAATGTTTACAATGTCATTTGTTAGGATACACATTTTTATTTGAAATGGCTGCATGAATAATTACATAAAAATGTAAATAAGTTCATGAAAGTTTAAATACCTTCTGCCTTTGTCGCTTTACCCTTGCCTTTCTTTGGAGCAGGTGAACTTTTGTCATCTACTTTGTCTTCTGAAATAGAACAAAGAGTGTTTGTTTCGATTTATATAATTAAAAACATGAGAGACGAAAAATATTTTAGATTTAAATAATTATGAGGTACTCGATGAAAAATAATTAATGCAGAAAAATTGATTACAAACCCTCTTCTTTTTCTGCAGAAGCATCTTTCTTCGTTGCTTTGCCCCTGCCTTTTTTAGCGGGCTTTTCTGCAGGCTCCTCGGCAGCTTCTTCTACCTCCTTATCAACATCTTCGGGCTCCTCTTCCATGACTTCAGCTTTTTTGCTGCCTTTTTTGCCAGAAGTCTTTTTATCTGTGCTTTCTGTTTTTTTGGCAGCCTTTTTGGGCGCCTTAACTGGTGCGGGTTCTGGCTCAGGCTTCTTGTTTTTGGCTGCCCTGGGTAACCTGGCTTCTTTCACCTCTTTGGGCTCTTCCTGGCTCTTCTTCTTTTTTGGTGCAGAGACGTCGACTTCTGCTGGCGCAGGATCAACTGCTTCGGTCTCTGCTCTCTTTGTTCCTTTCTTAGGAGCCATTTCTGAAATAACGTCTATTTAGCATTTGGAATTAACATGAAAAGAAATTTTTTTAAACCATCAAATGTTCATGATTATGGTAACTAATTAATTTAAACTGTTAAAACCACTTTTTTCTATCAAGTATTTTAATTGTGTGAAATTAATGTGGGCAACATTATTTATTCTTTGGCTTGTTTAATACTGTTGAGTTAAATTAAATTTTTATGAAATTCCCTTGAACTCTAGTTCCCTGCTATGTAAAAATAATCAACGTTTTTTAATAAATGATGGATGAAAAGTGAAAAGTAAATTTTCCAAGGTGTGCATACAAAGCGATAAAATTTATATGGACAAATCGATCAAGGTGAAGGAGAGATAAGCCACTGAAGCGAAGAAAGAGACAAATAAATTAAAGTTAAGCGCTTCGACCTAGCGCGACTCGATTGGCCAAAATTACGCCCGTACCAAGGTGGCATGGGCAAAAAAAAAAGGACACCCCAAAAATCGAAGGAATATAACTCGGGGGGGGGGGGGTGAAGAGAAAAAAAACCCCGTTCGCGGCCCCTCCTCGTCCCGCTCGGCAATCAGGCAAGCTTCGCCATTTTTCTCAACGGACCCGGGGAAAGAAGAACGAAGCACGTCGAAGCGCGCGCCAGCTACGAAACTTCACCGGCCGATTGTCCAATAGCATCGCGACAGCCAAGTGGCTGGCAACAGGCAATTGGGCCAATAAAAGTGAATCATTCGAGCTTGTAGCCGCCATGTCGCCACGAAAAAAGCATCTTTCCGAAAAACACTCACGCACACCGACTCTCTCTCTCTCTCTCTTGTCCATTGCGCACGTACGCGGACACCAAAAGGTGAAAATTTGCTGCAAGTACGTGACTTGCCGAGCTCCACGTCTTCGGGTGAAATAAAAAAAGCCCCCCCCAAGGCGAAATAAACGTCATCCGCTTCGTCGGAGCACCGCGCATCATCACACAGCCCTAATTTACACAAAACATATTAGGCTCGCCGACATCTTTGTCGTTGCGAAGGCTGCGCAATTCGAGCGTTATCAGTTGTACCCAGAAACGCCGCCAACACCGTTTTTCTCACCGTATACAATCACGCCGAGGTAACCAGAGATACACCGACGACGCTCGCACAGGGCTTGGACGGCTATCCGTTAACAACCGACAACAGCGTGTGGACAAACGTGGTGCCGGCTCGTGATCGAGGTGTCTCAAGGCTGTTTACCCTCGGCTCGGGACCCCCTGCGGCTCTCCCGCCTTTTTCACGCTGCTGCTGCTCTGCAACGAGGTCAGGACGAATCGCCCATCCGGCGCGCTCTCGCGCTACGGGTCGGGAGAAAAAAAAAAAAAAAAAAAAGATGGACACAAACGAGGGGAAGGGAACAAAGCGCGAGCTCGCGGTGTGCGTTCAATGTTTTTGAGGCTCTTTGCTTTTCTAACGCCAACATGCCGGCTACCGGCGCACGGGTCACGAGCGCGTGGGGGATCCGACTTTTGACGAGAGCCAACGATGCAAACACCCGAGGTATAAAGCAAGAGTTGTCGAGCACTTACCTCTCGAAGACGATGTGTACGAACACTTGAGGACTAGGACAACTTGAGGGGATCGCTCTCTCGCACTAACCGACCTTCCGCCAAGGAACTGCTTCCCGCTCTGTAGTACTGAGTATAGCTAACCAATGCCGTTCGGATACGACGGCGGATAGGTATCGTATATCTAACTGGTGTCTATAGTGGACAAGTGTGATGTGATGATGTGATGGATAGTGCAGCAACAGTATAGCACATGCACGCGCGCGCGCCAAGAAGACCAAGAGACCAAGAGGGAGGCGGAACAACGTTTTTCTCTTCCAGTCACGGGGAACTCTGCTCCGGCAGCTATCTGCGTCTCTCTTTGGCCCCCCTCTGCTTATTCATTCCGTTTAGCCGCACTCTCCCGCCCCTCTGGTGGCCAATGGCGAAGCGCCTTGCAAGAGGTTGCGCGCGCGCGCGCCGGTACCTCGGCCAATGAAAAACCTGGAACAGTTGGTATAGCTGCACCCCGATTGGCCCGATAAGCTGAAAAGCTCGCCATAGATTCGACAGCGGCTTGAATTTTTTTGTCTCATGTGTTGCAATTTTTTTAACGTTTAATAAGTAAAGCAAGACGATTCGAGATGTCTTATGTAAATATGGATACTTATGGGCTTCGACAAAAAAACAAAAAAGATGTACCAGAAGCCCGGTTATTTCGAATACTACAAGATGGGATATGGTGCTTTATGCAATTGATATAAACACATTGCATTTGGAACAAACTAAGATCAAGGCCAACTAAGTAAAAAATTTTCAGCTAATAATATAACTAAAAATAATAGCAAATAAAATAGCTGAAATAATAGATATCTCATGTGTTTTATTAGCTATTTTTTTTTTGTTATATTAATAGCTTATTAATGAAAACGTCTGGAACGTTCTCGTTGTTTCGAAATGCCCACGTTTTGATAAATTAACGCCAGAGGCAACGTCAATAATGATTTCTACGTAATTATTTTTAATCGGAAAGAACGAGGGAAAGAAGATGATGGAGCGATTATTTCGATGTAAAAACGAGTCATGAAATATCGATGCCAAAAAAATAATTTCAACTTGAAACGACAAATATATCGATGAAACAATGTTTTTTAAATCTTGCATTCATTCTAATACGTTAACTACCGACTTGTTCGAGCCAATAAATTTTTACACGAGTTGCGAAGTATACATGAAATATGGCTCTTATTACATTAAAAAAAAAGGTGAAGTAATGTTTTTTTCATAATTTACTAGTTTTATAAATGATTATTTAATTATTTTTCATAAAATACTAATTTAAAAAACAACTTTTATGGTAAGTTTAAAACTGTTTCGATTATTCAGAGCGTTAACACGAACTAGAAAAAAATTTACGTTACAATATCTAAATCTAATCATACAAGAAAATAAAATAATAAAATAAATTACACGTAATATACTTGTGATATGGAGCATGACTTTATTTAGTACATATCGTCAATGAATTGTATTTTCGTATGCGCACTCATGTTTTATTGATATTATGCAATAGTTTATTTTCTTTATTGCTGTTCATTTATTGTTTAAATTATGTAAATATTAAGCAGCGCTCTTTTGTCTATTTGACATGTTATTTTGGCAGCTGCACATTGTCCTGAAGAGGTTTTCAGAATGAAAACGAAATATTGACAATATGTACTAAATAAATTCATGCTCTATATCACAAGTATATTACGTGTAATTTATTTTATTGATAATGACAAAGGAGCAAGATGTTTGGATTTGATATGACTAATCATACAATATCTATGACTTTTTAAAATAATTGTTTAGTTCCGAAATGTTGACTTTGTAGACTTAATTTCTTAACAAAACAATTTGTATACCAAACAATATATAATAATTTATTAGAGTGACAAAAAAAATTGATTCGTCAGTTTTTGGCAAACTTTGAACTCTTGAATTTGAAAATATTATTTGTGAAACCTTTCAAAAAATTTTCTACATCACTGTTGAACTATTTCTAAAACTTCTAGTACCTATGATTCATTATTAAAACTTATAATAATACATTAACATGTTGTTTAACAAAAAGTATTTTTATATTTGAGTACCGAAAATTTTTTTCCAGAATCGGAATGATACAAAAACAACTAAGATATTTTTTAACAGTAAGCCTTAATTATTATTCTCTCAAAATTCGATGAAATCATTCATTATTTATTTTATTAAGCAATGCTTTCTTAAATTTTTTTGAATTTACATTTCTACTACTATTTTCGGACGCGATTCGTCGACTAAAAGACTATGTTAACTAAAGACGGCCACTATTATATCAAGTTAGTCATTCACTGGCAGTCGTCACGAGCAGAGTTGTTCTTCGCAAGGCTGGGGATCCCAATGACCGACGACCCTATATTATCCTCTCGACTCTCAGCATTCAACCAGGAATCATCGATCCTCTCTAAGGTCTGCTCTGGGCGAACCCAACAGGAATGATTAACATGAAGGAAAAATAAACTTGAGCCAACGGAAGTCTCCAACGGGCAAGCATCACAAACCAATCTTTCCATCTTAGATAACCAAAACAACTGAGTCTGCAAAAAAAGAAGGTTCTTTAGACATCAACGTCTTCGACGTTATACCAGGAGACGTTGGAAAAGATCTCTACAACTAGCTCCTAAGCTTTGGACTTTGTTATTTTTCTCCCAATCAGTCTAGGACTTTCACAGCAGGCCAGAAAAGATCACCCTGAAGTATCCAGGCAGTCACAAATGCTGTAAACTTCAGTCAAGACAGAGATCACTTGAGAAGATCACCGGTCTTTCTTAGAGCTATCAGACGTTGAACTACCTTGCCAAAAAATATATTAGAACTCAACAAAGTTGACAAGAAACAGCTCTTGTGGGTCAAAAAAGTCTTAACCATATCAAAAGTCGCGAGAGGGTTAATTGGAACGAAAACTTTAAATATTTCTAATGAGCGCGTGGTGGCTCAGTCGGCTAGGTCGTGGATTNTCTCATTAAGATTTTTTTTATAAAACTTGAAGTTTTTGAGCACGTAAGAATTTCTTAAATTTCATTGGCTTTTGGTTTTAAAAAATATAGCTTTTACGAAAATGCTTTAAGAGACTCTTAAGATTCTTATTAAAATAAATGATATAACGGACATTTTTGGTAGATGTGAATATGAACTTAAAAAAAAACTATTTGAAAAAAAAAAAAAATTCAAGTCGAACTAGATAATGCGTGTAACAAAGAAATTTTATCGAATTGAATGTTTCGATAACTATTTTTAAGCATGATATAAAGTGTATAATGTGGTTTTAATTCATTGGTCTAGACACTTTTCTATTTGAATTCTAACTGTTCAAAACTTTTTGTCTTAGAATTTAATGATAAAAATAGTTCTTACAACACGTTCTAAAAACTTGCATCATTTAACTCACAAAAAAAAATTTAATTCCAAACATAAAAATTTAAAAAGTCCAGCTAAAATACTATTTTCCTTTTTTTTCGGCAAACAAAAAATATGATTAACAAAACGACAACTCTGTAAGCGTATATTGTAGCTCATCCTTTTTGGTTTTATTTGCAAAAAGTATATATAGGATTTCATACCATTAACCAAGTTTTGCATCATAAATATTCAAAATCGAATAATTAATTCCTCTGTAGTTCATGCATTTGTCATTGCTATTCCATCGAACTGCAACTAAACTTACTTTCAATTTTAATGTATTTACATTTTACATCCTTTTAATTTTATTTAACACTGTTGCAAAGTCAATTAAACATAATTGTTGGAAAAAATCTATCAGGTAAGGTGCATTAAATTTAAACCGAAACACATATTACTGCAGTAACAAATTGTATTAATTGTATTCTGTAATTTGAAAGGTTGGAGGTATTTAGGGAAATACATCTTTTTAGTATACTTTAATTGTGTTTAAATTCAAATTCTTTAAAGTCACATTATTTACGTAAAGTATTAAAATTAGATATTACATTCGATATTATATAAAGAATTGTGTAATAAAGTTTAGCAAATTCGAAAAAAATTACAAACGCAATAATTTATTTCACATACAATGTACACTCCAAATTAAAAAAAAATTAAAGTACTAAAATCTTTGGAACCAATTTTATTTAATCGATTAATTTGTCAGGAATCATCAGACAAATGAAAATTTTATCCGAACAATTAAATTGAACCATATCGATTACATTGATCAAATCTACTACACTTGTATGAAGATTTGTTTCAAAAATTTTGATCAGGAAAAATTTGCTTAAATTACATTTTCAGATTGACGTGGCATGTTGAGTATGTTCTGAAAATTAAACTCGTCCCTTATAGGTTACTTAACTATGGCATGAGATATAATACATTAAGATGCATTTCAGCTACCAATAATTAATAAGCTTGACTTTGGATTCTTTGGAACCCAGCCTATTGGCCTTAAGGACGTTCGGTAGTGATTGAATTTTCCAACGAATTTTTCTGAAATTTTGACCAGACGTTTTTATTGTTGTTACAATAAACCAGTCAAAATTTAAAGAGGTTCCTCTGTTTCGTTTTCGAGATATTGAATTTCAAAGTTAAGTCATTTTAACACTGTCGCTTATGGGAGAACTGACTAAATCACAGTTTTAAGCAAATTGGGACAGTGAATTTGGCCAATTTTTTTTTATGTTACAGATAATGTTATTAATTTGATGTATACCAAGTTTTGCGACGATCGTCTGATTCGTTTATAAATAAAAAATTAAATAAAAGCTCGACCGAAACGCAACGGCAACGTCGCAAGTGGCGGGAAATTCAAAATGTTCCAGGATGTTGATCAGTAAATATCTCAATATTATTGTAGATATTTATGCATTCACGCATAAAATACAAGCTTACGTGTGTGCGTGAGTGTATGTACAGAACGCCCACCCCTTCCCATAAAAAACAATAAATGTTAATAACACGCTATTTATTTTTTTTTTTTATTTCAAATTTATTATTTCTTCTTAAGATACAATTTTTTTGCACATTACAAAATCACATGCTCATAGTTTGAATCACTCATCTTAGAAATCATCCTACTTATCTGACATCCCATGCTGTATGAGACTTGTCAAGTCATTTAAAAATTCAAGTATTTTATTTACACTGGTAGCTCTTTTGATTAAAGGGCTTTGCCCATTTATTAGAAACGATCTTAAACCATCATTACCTTCCATAAATTTATCAACAATAATATTAAAATCTACTTTATTTTGACTTAGATTTTTAATCACTGTTTTGGGAATGATAGACGACATGGGGGAAAAAGTTGGCGAATACATTTTTTCATCAGAAATTCTTTGAATTTTCGCAAGAACATCTTTTACGGAAAACACGTTCGTTGAAATATCATCCCATGAAAGATATGTAGCGGTTAATTTTTCTAATAAATCAATATCAACTATTGCATTATGAGCGTTTTCAACAGACAATGTCAATAAGTCTTTTCCAAGATCTGAAAGCTTATGATTTTTCCTATTCGGAAAATGTAACAAATACTTACAGCTTTATCACAAAAACATTGATACACGAACGCTGTCGTAACCGACGCAGCACGCAGCAGACGAGCAGACAGTGTAGAGTGTGCAGAGACACCTGATGCGTGTACATGAACACTCACACATTTAAGACCCGTACGACGTTGCCAAATCTTCATTCATCGCTGGTTTCCCCTCACCGCGCAAATGTTTCCCCCCGCTAACACTACCGAACGTCCTTAAGGCCCTTCAGGGTAACTCCAAAATCGAAATCGCACCCCCACTAGGCACTTTAAGAACGATTGGACATGATTAGAGCAGTGCTATGAATTGATTTCCACATGCTTGTAGAAAAGCGACATTTAAGGGTTGGCCACCTGGTGAATAGAGCTGGAAGCTCAATTTCATAATAATTACCTTTTCTAATCACGGCCAATCGTTCTACAAGTGCTCAGTAGGGACGCGATTTTGGAATTCGAAGCCAATAGTAGGTGTAGGTGGGATTTTTTATACACTTCTAACAATGATGATACAGAAAAAAAAAACTTCTTAAGACCTAGCTTCTATGAGACTAAGAGCTGAGGTCCAGGGATGGTTAAAAAAAAATACCAGCCAAAATTCTTATAGAAGTTGAGACGCCTCATGGTTTGTAGGAATCTTACGTATTTTATGGCCCTACTAAAAAAATGTCAATGATAAAATCAGTCGTAAACTACGTCATTGATTCTACATTGATGATTGCAATCATCCTCTCATGATCCCATCTTGAATCTATGTTGATTCTGCGTAGAATCAGCATTGATTCAAGTCGATATTGTTGATAACTAAGGCATGCTTTTCTCATGTTAGAGTTGTAGTCGCAATTTAAATAAATTCTGTTAAAGCTAATAACTAAAAAACTGTAAAATTGATAGTAAATCAACGTTGATTCAACGTGGAATCAACGATGCAATTTGTGACTGATTTCAGTCTTAATTGAGCATTGATATTTTCGATTTAGGGGGGTATAAACTGCTGAATTTTGTGATCAAATCAATTTTGATCCTTATTTTGCTGTAAAATTGGCATGAGACAGATTGCATAACAGCACAGAGCGTAGCGTCATCTGTCTTATTATCTTACACCATATATAGTCGAAAAAAAAAACCTATGTACACTAGACGGCCAAATATTCTCGACCCCCTCCGACGAGTTGAGTGACACTGAAATCATGTACTTTAGTCAATAAATGTGATAATAAATATTTATTTTAAAATATCTTACCTTTCTGCATTCATTATCCTAAAATCTGGGTACAATTTCAACTTTACTAACAGACGTAGCAGAAAAAAAAACGTTGTATTGAAAGTGTATGATCGATTTTATACTTCTTTTAAAAGCAGCTATACATAAATTTTCAAATTAGTACACGAGCATAAATATACATATGTTTTATTAAGTTTTCATAACCAAAAATTTACTTTTGTGAAACCCGTGTCATTTATTACATAAATTACATAAATCACATAAAATATATAAATTACATGTGACGTGTCGTAAATACCTCCTGACCAGATTAACCCATCCCTGACTTCAATATACTTATGACTTCAGTGTCACTGAACTCGTCAGAGGGGGTCGGGAATATCTGGCCGTCTAGTGTACCTAGAGACCCACTAGGTTTGTTTAAATTGATTCTTGGAAAGATTCTGAGTGTATGTATGTCTCCAAGAATAAATTAAATAATAAATTTTAATCTCAGAATGTATGCACACGTTAACTTGGAAACATGCACAAAGTAAACATACCCTAGATCGACTCCCCTGAGTGCTAAGTACTTATTGGGTACGTATTTTTTGCCATCACCATCAGTCAGTCGGGCGACTTAGGCCGCGGTTACATGGGGTGGAAATTTCCAGAGGAACGTCATAGCGGAAAGAGAAGAGTTCTTACACCACCATTTTAACGAGTTACGCGTTTCGCTCCCGCTGGGGAAAATGTCCATCGTGCAGCATTGAAATTTATATCAAATGCATAACATCGAATGTTTGCCGCTGAAAAGCTATGCCCTTATTAGATGCTGTCATGACGCGGCCTTTCTATTCCGCTTCATGTGCAACGATGGACATTTTTTCCTGAGGGAGCGGAACGTGGAACTCATTAAAGTAGCAGTGGGGGTCCTCTTTTATATATATATATATATATAAGAAACAAATCCTTCTACTGTGCTTCCGCTATGACGTTCCTCTGGCTGTTTCCGCCCCATTTCACAGCGGCCTAGTCATCTTCCGGCGAATTGAAGTGAGCACCGAACTGGAATTGGACCGACCTACCAACCACCTTTGCACGCAAATGTAATAACTATGACGATAAGAGTAAAGAATAAAAAATATAAAGAAAATAAATGTATGGATATGGAGTTAATGATACTATGGCAACATGTAACGGTGTCAAAGTAAAACATGAGCGTGTTTCAAAATGTGGGCGCCCGAAGTGCCTAAAAGAAATGATTTTGATGGAGGCGGTATTTTTGACGTTCGTTCGGTTAGTCGGTCGGTCTAATTTCTTGAGTAGTATATCCAAAGACATGTGTTATTGTTATGGTCGCAACTATGTTGACTGACAGAGAACACAGTATAGGTCTGTTCAGTCTGTTCACTCACTTTGAGTTTAGCCGAACAGTGGAACCCACTTTTCAATATGAACGTTCACAATGAAATAAGCAAAAAATGTGAATAGCTCCTAGGTCTTCTCGCCTACACTCCTGCTATAGCTCTGCTCTGATTGGCTTCCATTGCAAAAGTTTCGATAGTGGTGGGGGATGCGAAGATCCTCTTTCGCCAACGGTGCCAAAACACACTGAGCGACTGAGCCTGACTGAGCCGACCGTTGGCATTAGTTTCGTCTGGTTTCGTTAATGGCCATTGGAGTGACGCTGCTAACAAGCAGCCAAACTTGAGCCACCAAAACCCCTAAGAAGACGAAGACAACGCATTGCACCGTCAGAGATTTATCTCTGAAAACGTATTTGGTATACACTTTTCCCTCCATTCCATTGCGTTGAATCCAAAAAAATCACATGTGTGGATTTGTGTCAATTATTTTCTTGTAGGGTTAACCATCATATTTTAAGCATCAGACGTATTGTCTAAGTTAGACAAAAGTACACTGTAGATCAAAAAGAATTTCATCTTTCAAGCAATGTCTCTGGATCTGGATCCGGACGTAAGTATATTACGTACATTTATGTTTTCCAAGAATGACAAAAACTTTCTTATAAAGATTTAACATATTTAGCTGTACATGTTACTGACGATTCTTATCATTACTGTTAGGCACCATTGTGTATCTTATGCAAGGAAGGAGAGTCTGACCAAGCCAAATTGAAATTATACACTAACAACAGTGTTTACTCAAGACTGGTGAAGTCTTTGAAAGTTATAAAGCATTTTAATTTGCGGCAAGGAAACTTCAACACATTAATCTTACCTGCCAAAATTGCAAAGGATGATGAACTTTACTATCATTCTTATTGCCACCATGACATAACTAAAATTAACAAAAAATTTTTGGATGAATACGAAGAGTACCTGTCTGCTATCACTAACAGCATATCCGATGATGACGAGGTAATTATTCATTTTATTTTATACCTCAAATAAGTTTGTTCCATTAAACTATTTGAATGAATTTTGACGATCACACACAAACACAATGTTGCATGCCTACCATCAGTCACAGCATGACAGCTCAGATGAAGTTTCCCATGGCAAAAGTGGCAAAGATGACGATCCTGATTACCAAGATGTTTCAGCAGATGAGCAACCCTTATTCTCTGAATCAGAGTGAGTATATTATGAACATGATTGGAACTCAGTTTAAAAACAAGAAAAGTATAAATCAAGTTCATGCATTTAAATCACAGACTTCAATGATTCATTTCATGATGATCAGGGTTCTACACTATGTACAATTATGTGAAGCTTATACATTGCATTGAAATATTATGTTGATGTTGGTAAAACAATTTTAAACAGCATTGAAATATTGCTTTAATGTGCAACTTTTTTGGGATTAAATACCGTTTAATATCCTATCCAAGCCAACAAAACTAAAATTTAATTCTCCAACAATCTAATTAAATTATTGAGAACCATGATCATGAAAATAAATTATCGCTTTCGGGGCATTACTTTGACAAGAAAGAACAATATCAAATATATTCTGTACCTTAGAGAGGATTTGGTATAACTTGTACATGCTAATTTCTTTTTTTTTAGAGATGAAGAAGATGACCCAAACGCGAATGTTGAAGTTTTACTTGAAAACGAATCTGTCTTGCTCGCTCAAAAAGTTTGTGTTGTATGCGATAAATACGCGAGTTCGTCGAAAAAGTTGATCGTTTCGAAATCCCGACTCGTGTATAGTAATTTGAAAAGAGAGAGTAAAAAGCACGGACACGCAATGTTACTAGCCAAGCTTAAAATATTCAAACGAGAAAAAAAATTTCCAGCTTACCATAAAACGTGTTACAGCGCTGTTATATTTTTTAATAAGGAAAAAACTGCTACTGATAATAATACACGCAGAGAATTAAAACGAGATGTTATTTCTACAATTGATCAGTTTATAGATCGTGAAATTGTTGGTTTCAAAAAATGTATAAAATTATCGCAATTGACGGAAGAGTTTAAACGGTTACTACAGGCCTCATACGAGAAGCACAATTTTTCACTCGATAAGAATTATCGATATAAATCTAACTTGAGAAATCATATACTTAAAAATTATAAGAATCAAATTAAATTTCATACGATCGAAAACGAAGAGTTCTTGAGTAGGGAAGACGCAGTTGTTTATAACAGCAAAAAGGAAGCTCTTCTCGAAGAGGCGTACAAAACTGTTGCAATGGATATTCGAGAATCGTGTTTAAATGTTCCAGTGGAAAAATTACCACTTCTGTCGACCCAAAATTATGTTGCAGGTGAATGTACCGAATTACCGAAAAATATTAAACAGTTTTTTACCGATATACTTGTAGGCGACACTCGTAAACAGGCAAACAGCGAGAAAAACCGGAAACTCGCCAATTCGCTAACGCGAAATCTCGTTAACAATGTTAATTCCGGTAAAGTAAATGCTTCTAAGCAGATTGAAGTAGGAGTCGTTCTAAAGAGTACGACCGGCAGTCGTAAAGTACTCAACGTGGTCAACAAACTCGGGCAGACATATAGTTATGATATCATTGAATCCATCGAACCTGCTCTCGTGACAAATAACTCACATAGTGACACACGCATTTGCATTCCCGAAATTGTTTTTGAACCTGAGCCTATGGCTTGCGTTGAATTTACCAATTTCGATAATGGAGCAACTGCTGAAAAGGAGACGGTCGAAATCATTCCGCAAATTTGTCTACCACAAAATGAGTCCGAATCATCAATGTTTCAGCAGGAGACTAGCAACGCCGTGAACGAAGAAGTTGATAATACTGATAGTCATTAAGCTAACAAGTGTAGATGAGGTGGGATATTTTTTTTTTTTTTTTTTTTTTATACTGTAAATCCTTTAAAGTAAGAAAAACACTAATGACTTTCCAAAAATGAACACGAAAACTTTTGAAGCGAGCTCCCTAGCTCCATGCAAGGTAGAATTCGTAGAACAGTTTTCGCGAGTGTCATGCATCACTTGGATTTGGCAACAGTTTTTGATAAGAATAAAACGTTAAAAGCTTTAAATTTGTTTTTGATATTTTGGTATTTTGGAAAAAACATGCCCACATTGAAACTTAAGTAGTCGATGACGAGGATTGTGACGAAAACGATGGTAGTTATCATAGTTCTACAACTTTGATTCATTATTCGTATTTTTCATTAATCCTTGAAATTTTTTCTTTCTAATATAGATTCCACATCTGAGATATAAGTATTTTCTTATCAAGAGAACAAAGATCTACTATGCGACGGGCAAATAAAAAGCAATGAAGAGTGTAAAATCGATTATAGCGAAGTAGAGAGTTATGAAGGTTGTAAGAGCAAGCGTAAGATTGAATTTGAAAGTCATATTGTGTACAGTAAAATAAAATAGTTTCCTTACATTAAACTGAATTTTTAATTCTCTTTTTTGTGTAAGATTATTTAATTTTCTTTTTTCCCGATTTCAATGTGCAACGCCCATCACCTGCAATTTCTAATGAAAATAAAAAAAGGTACCCTTCCTCTTGTATATAAATTATTCTCAAAACTCGTAAAAAAACGATTGGCAAAGTTACAGCAGGTAGGTATTGTTTTGTCTGGAGGGTCCATTTACTTGGTGGTCAATTTTTGGGTGTAGTAGATAAGTCCCAGTCTTTTCCAAAAGGGTACTTCTCTTTTTATTCTCTATCCATTTTTTTCTTTTTTTTACCGTCCCTGGACCTCAGCTCTTAGACTATAAATGTTCAAAAAGTGTTGAAAAGTATAAGGGCTTGCAAAATAGGTGGCTTGGTCTGATGCTCTGCTGGTCCCACTTTATACGGTCATTTTCCTTACGACTTCCGTTCTTTAAGAAATAAGTAAACATAGTTTTTTTATACCTTTTTTCCCCCCAATTTAGTTAGTATAGTTCCTACACCTTTGTTTTCAACTTTTAACTTTTCACATTAATTATGTAGTTCATATAAATCTATAATTACATTTTTTGCATTTTTGATTAATTTAAATCATCGCCAAATACATTTGTTGTGTTAATAATTTATTTCACTAACTTTTCCATTATTTATTACTCCAACAAAGTACGCAAAGGTGTTAATTTCTCATAAAGTAGACGAACTTTAATTTTGAAAAGCTCTATGATTCCCAAGACAAAGAGGTCAATTCGATTCTGCTGTATTTACGCGAAAGTGATGGTCATGACTTGGCTCTGATTCAATTAAGAGATACGAGAGAACACACTACTTTGTGATTAAACAGTCAAAAGGGGGATGGCTGGTTTTCGAGGGAAGAATATCCTTATGATGTTATACCAAGTATGCTTTTTGAAACCAATTAAAATCCTTTTGTACTCCGATCTTTTCGAAATTCAAGATATTCACGTGACCGTCACTCACTGTCACAAAGAAATGTTTTGACTTTTGGACCGGTCTTTTGACAAACAGACCTTAGGTTTCAAACTTGCACTGCTTGCAGAAGCAGACAGCACGCACCAGCAGACCTCTCGGGATTCTCTCGGAAAAGCTTGGGAAAAGCTGCATGCATGGGAGCTTCGACGTGCCAGTCGTCCTTCGACTTTGTTAACAAAGTACCAAGTCAACCGCAGTAAATCCAAGTGGTATCGATAAGTTTAACTCACGATAAAAGCCTCGTAGTGGTTTTGTGCACCAACCCAAGCGCAGGTCATCACGTATAATAATCACGAAGATGGCGTCGAACAAGAGCCAACGTTGGGTCGTCGACTCTGGAATATTGCGAAAAAAAGCCGAGGAAGAGGACCTACGGGAGCTACTGGTCTTCGGTTACGGCTGCAAGCTCTTTCGGGACGACGAGAAGGCTAAGTTGATCGATCAGGGCAAGCATTTGATACCCTGGATGGGCGATGACACGCTCAGAATAGACAGGTCCGTGTTTTCCCGTCAAACCACCTAACCTATACTCTCTCTACCACTAATAATACTATATCTACTAGCTACTACCTATTATCTACGAAAAAAAAACAGCTACAACAAAATGATGATTCTTAACCAATATAGACAACGGACGATGTAGCTGTGTAAACAATTATCGTGTATGTGTGTGTGCGTGTGTTTCTTTTTTATACAATTGTATCCAACAAAATCCAAATTAATGATCCATCTAACTTGTCAAAGCATTTTTTTCTCCATTATTTTAGCCACAGTCGCACAATATATCCATTTACGTTGATTCATGAACATTTAAGCGATAATGAGATATTTTGACCAATAAGTCGTGATGACCCGTCTTGTGCAGTTGAAAAAGTGAGAGTGACAGAGAGAGCACACATGCATATCCTATATTCCATTGATTTGTTAACAACAAGCAACAGCAGTATATATAGGAGTCGCAGCAGCTGACCAAAAGTCTTTGCTGAAGGAAGCCCTCCTGCAGCTGTTTCTCAGTCGGACTTGAGATCATAAAACCCCATCCTGAAGCTGTAAATGCTCTTGTATTCCGAGAGCGACGGTGATCGGATAGAAAGAGCCCACATACCTAGGTGTGTTGACGGTGATTGCGAGATTCGCGAGAAAGAGATCTAAAGAGGTCCAGTGAAGCTAGGGAGTGGGAAAAAGAAAATTAAAGACAAAGAGATAGCAGCCAGCTGCGAAGGTGAGACACAGGTGTAAAATAGGCCGACAATCACCCAGTTTAATTGACGTGATTGATCGGGCTGGTATGTATTTAGAGACTTAGTATCAATTGGCAGTAAACAAATGATGCTAAACTGTAAATCATCCATAACGTTGTACTTGTACGTTAATCATTTATCTGCTATCTCCATTAGTTTAATCTTATTAAACTATGGTTTAACTAAGTCTTGTTGTACTAAACACGGGAGCCCCTTACTGGTGTTTTTTGATAATAACAAGTTACTGAGTTACTAATACTACTGCATCAACAAATTCTTTACTGCACTTTTGCTTGAAAAAAGCATCATGGTTTTCAAGATTAAAACAGTGAACATAGCAAATTATTCTTCAATAGCAAAATAATCTTGTTTATAGATTAAAATTGCTTGAATAAAAAAAAAAAGTTATTCTTTCAGTATTTAAATTAATTTTTTTTTTGTTAAAATTATTTACACTAAGCTGATTGGCATTACAGTTTAAAAGATTTTTTTTTTTTTTTTTGTAAAATTCAACCTTTTTTTTTTTGTTTTTAGCCTTTTTGAAAAAAAGAAAGAAAAAAAATTTTATTCCAGCCTTGATCTTGGCAGAAGTTATAAACTTTTTTCTTTATTTTCAGGTGCCGAGTGAAAAGCTGAATTATTATAATTAATTTAAGTTTTGATTTTTTTAATTCGATTGCCTAATTCGTCTGTTTTGCATGTCTATAGATATGATGGACGAGGCGCCTTGGGAGATCTACGGATATATGAACCACCACAAGGTGGTTTTGACCTGCGCACTATTCTCTCAGAGGATGAGTATAAAGTTGAGCAACTCTGTGATCAGGAAAGGTATAAATCTCTCTACAACAATGAGGCCGAAGAAGCCATGTATCACGGTAAATATAACGCAGTTTAAAAAAGTTTCATTCACCAAAAACAGATTTTGTTGATAAACATCACCTCATCGAGTCAATTTCATTTTTATCTAATACTTATCTTTTGTTATTTTTTTTGTTTCAATGCAGAGGAAGAAATCAAAAGGCTTCACCAAGCACTTGATTCGGAAAACTCGTACAGTCAAGTGGCCTTTAATTATGACGAGGAAAAGAAGTTGGAAGAAAATTCTGAAAGTCCAAAACCTTCTGAAGATTCGCAAGAAGATGAAGCTTTTGAACCCGATCCTGAACTCGAAATACCAGGAGACATGATAGTAGTAAGATATCCAAGTTACATCGTATACTAAAGCAGTAAAAATAATTTTTACATGACGGACTGGTTTTGTAAATGTGTGTTTCATCTATTTCAGCCTGAAACGCAAAAACTCAACGCCATCATAGTAAAAACTGCCCTCTTTATTAGTCATCAGGGTGGTCAAATGGAAGTTCTAATAAAGACAAAGCAAGCAGATAATCCGCAATTTTCGTTCTTATCGATTGATGGCGAGCTGTACCCCTATTATAAGCATCTCTTACAAGCCATAAAGTCTGGCAAATATAATCCAGAAAAGCAACCTGATAAGGAAGAACCTGGTACGCATTCAATTTTAATTGTTTATAAGTATAGTTATGTACCTTTCTCTTGACTTAACTGAGTGGAAGAACATATTTGAGAAAACATAGTTGTAACATGATTGATGTTGTCTTCATTGAAAATTAACGAAGTAACTCAATTATGAGCTGGATTTCAAATAGCAACACCTCCTTATGATTCTACTTATTTAGTAATGTATGTAAGTACCAACATTACATTTAATAATAATAATAATAATTACAAGACACATTCAACAATAAAATTATGAGGTGTAAGTATAACTAGTCTCCAATGGCAACTATAATTGTTATTTATTTGATTGACAGCTCCTGAAGAAGAAGCGGAAGAAGAACAGTCAGACGACGATGATGAACCTTATCTACATCCAAGTCTCGTGTCATCTCTCAAAATTGAAGCAGTATGTTGATAAATCGTTACCCTTTTTTTTTTTTTCTCCTTATTGGCAAAAATATTTTATTCGTATGTATACTCAAAAAAAATGATCTGTTTCCAGGCGCCAAGCATTCCCAGTATTAACTATAAACCATCGGCCGACTGTGCTTACTCAATGTTGGTGAATAAAATTACTGGAAAACCGCCAACTGCAAAAACCGCGCTCAAGCCAGAGGTAATACCACCACCGCCATTGCCCCCAATGGGTTATTACCACCCCATGTCACAGGTGATTATAATCAAACAGTCACACTCATGTAAACAGTTGAAAATTCTCACCCTATCAACTAATTATTTCATTCGATCGCATCCAGGGCTACCCTCCGTATCAAGCACAACCACAGCAATATACGCACGGACCAGTGCTGTACAATGCTAACGGCAACGCTCCAGCGCCGCAACTCAACCAAACTCCAGCTGTGCCGCAATACAGTTCTTCGGCACCGGTGCAACCTGCAGCCACGGTACCTCCAGCTGTTCAGACACCCCAAAAGGAACTTCCAGCCCCTCTGGTGCCGTACGGTCCTACGCCACCAAAACCACTGAGCAGGCCATCCTTCATCGTACCTCCGGCCGATGTGCAAATCATCATTGACAAAATGGCAAGCTACGTCGCGAAGAACGGCCGGGACTTTGAAGCCATAGTTAAAAACAAGGGCGATCCGCGTTTTAACTTTCTTGAACTCTCGCACCAGTATCACGGCTACTACGCTCACAAGCTGACGATGTGCGAAGGAGCTGTGAACCCTCGTGTGCTCACGGACGAAGAGTTGCTGCAAAAGCAAGAGTTGCAAGAAGAAAAGCAAAAGAAGCTTCAGGAACTGGAGAAGAAGCAGCAGCGCATGGAGGAGGTTCAGAAACGGGTGAAGATGATACAGGAGAAGAAAAAGGGCGAGATCGGCACAAACAGGCAGAGTCCCAGCAAGCAAGTGACGACCGTCTCGTTTTCCATTAAGAAACCCAAAGAAGGGGAAAATACTGTGATAGAGAAGCGTAACGCGTTGCCTCAAGAGGAGAGCGACGATGAAGAAGCCAGTGACGATAACGAGAAAAAGGTTAATAACAAGTCTGAGTCTCCTGCGCCCACAGTGGAGGAGAAAGTAGCAGAGAGCGTTCCTTCTCCCAAAAAAGAAAAGGAGTCGAAAAAGATTCCAGACAAGCCCGTAACTAAGGAAAAAAAACGTAAAACCCCAACAACGACGATATCAGTAGCTACAACGACGACGACGACGACAACAACTGCTTCTGAGAAACCTGTAGTGCCCGAAAAACGAACTCAGCCCAAGCCAGCAGTACCTCCAACGAAGCCGCAACCTAACTTGGATAAGCCCCTGCACCCAGAAAAAAAGTTAAAACCGTCGAAGCCTGCGATGACGCTAGACATCACCGACATAGTTGACCTCACCGATGACGTCTTTGACGATTGCGAGTTGATTCACACCAATCCAACTGCAGAAGACCGAGCTAAGCATAGGGCTTTTGTAGCAGCCCGAGCCAAGCTCAACGTGACGCGAGAACGCCAGCTTCAGATGGAGCGACGGAGAAAAGCAGCGATGTTCCTCAGTCAAATCCAAGCGCCTACGATAGCACGGAAAGACAAGCCAGCTGCGAAGCCTGAACCGCGGCAGCTCGCACCGCCTGCGTTGTTGCGCCAAGAGCCAGTTGTATCCGTGGTGCCAGTCTCGTTTGGTAAAGAGGAGCTTGAGGAGCTTAGGATGTGCACCAACTCGCTGATGAGCAAGTTACGACCATTGGAGGTGAGCAGAAGGTCGAAGCCGAGGTCCAGGAGCCGAAGCAGCAGCGACGGCCACTCGGAGCGCCACAGGAGCCACAAGAAGCACAAAAAGAAAAAGAGCTCTCACAAAAGGTCAGAGCATGAAAAACTTTTAAACCCATACAATTTTTTTTTTTTTGGACTTGGTTTACGTGATTTTCATTTACAGTGTTTACAGAGAAAACATCAGCAGCTCCCGGTCTCATAAATCGAAAAAAAGCAAAAAATCATCATCCAGGCATCGAGAACGGTCGAGAAGTTCTCACAGGCACTACACATCTTCTCGCCATAGAAGAGAAAGCAGCTCAAGTGACTCCGACACAAGCTCGTCGTAGAGGCTTTGTAGAAGTGATTTGACAAATTGCCGTTGAATTGTGTATAATTGTACATACGGTTACGCAGTCGGTACATTGTTGATTGATAATTTTATCTGAGAATCTGCCATTGAAGAATTGAGAGTGTTGAACGATATTATGAGCCATGCTAGTGAAAGTGTTGCCCTGAAACAGAATAACAGACTTTTTTTAAATAAGCATCGACAGAGCAAACGCCATGTTTTTATAAAAATATTGAAGAATTATTACATACTATTTTTGTAAAATTTTGGATATCTTATTTCTGATTCCTGTGATACTTGCAAAGTAATTGATTTTAGATAAAAAAAAGTTATTATTTGTCTTTGATTGAGCCTAATATCGAGCGTTTATTTTACATTTCATAATTTTACTAATTGTTATCTGAAACCATTTTTTTAATTTTTGAAAAACTAATAAAAACTAAAATTCAAGGTAAAAAAAAGCAATATCAACAAAACTCAACTAACAGGTAGTGTAATATATTTACTATGCATCCAATTCAACAGATTTTATTCGGTCTCCTGCTTTCGATATGGTCTCTGTAACGCCTACCCCTTTTTAACATCCAAAATAACAATACTGGTGGTAAAGATGTTTATCTGGAAAAAAAAAAATGGTTTTGGAGGAAGATTATCAATTCCAACGAAATATCAATATATTTCTTCAAAGTTGGATATAAAATTCAAAACATAATCTTCCACAATCAGTGATACAATATCAAATTAATATAATATAGTATGTCTCAAATATCACGTATATTGTACCTGAGCTAGAAATGAGATCTTTAACTTTCCGATTTTCCAGTGATACTTGGTCAGTAAGTAAAATTTTCTTTCAGCCGTACGCTGTTCTCGTGTTTCATGCAATTGAAACACAGAGAAGCTTTGATGCATCAAATTTTGATTTAAAAACTCATTGAATATTACATAACACTCACAGATTTTAATTTTGCACCATACATAAAAGAAATTCGTACGATGACTATGCACTAACATAATATGTTTATCTTCACAGAAATTAGAAAAGTTTCCTTTCTACCATAACATTAAAGAAGAAATTTCTGTGACGTAATGACACAAGACAAGCGACGACCTGTTTGCGCAAAAATAATGTTTAGTTTCGATTTTTAATCCGTCCCAGTGATATGATTTTTTCTCCCACGACTTGTGGCGTGATTTCGCAAATTTTGATAAAATAAATACAACGCTCGTAGTTAACACCTCAGCTGCCTCAGTTTCGCAAGGTTTGTTTCGAACCGTGTACCTTATGTGTATGTAATCGTACAAACGTCAATATAATTATTTTTTAACATTTTTTTTATTTTATTAATATAGTTCATGAGTCACAAGTTGTACCTGTATGACCATCACTTGGGATTATTAAGATTCCAAAAATGTATGTTTACAGCTCTTATATGCAAAAAAGACGAAATTTCCCCCGGTTATTGACTTGGGTTTCGATACATTATCTTTTTGATGACGCAAATTCTCGCACGAAAAAACTTGGCTACCCGTACTTATTGGTTAAATAAAAATACTTGTTGGTGCGTCTCAAATTCTTGCGATTCAAGAGGTGATTCAAAACATATTTAGTCATAGGGAAAATGTCATAACAGAAATGACGCAAATCATCTGATGCAAAGTCAGATTAGAAAGCGTTGTTTACTAAAAAAAAAAACAAAAAAAAAGTATGTACTAACTATATGGTACGTGCTGATTAATATATCACAAGAGCACCGAGGAAAGCACTGTATCAGTGTAAAAATGAATGGCAATAGCAATTAGTTTACCAATTGGTTAAATCAGTCTTCGTACTTGAGAAATAACTTTTTATATAGGTACTTAAATAATTCATGTTCTAAAATTCTAAAACATTTAATTTTGCAATCAAGTAATTTAAATTTAATCTTTACCATTAATAATTGATGTTTTATAAGGATTTTCAATTGAAAATGTAATTTAATTCTAAATTGCAATAACTTGCAAGTGAAAACTAAACATAATTAATCATTTTTTATACAAACGATTGGATTAAAAACTATATACATGATTGTATGTGAGCTTAAAAAAAAATTGTAATATTGACAGGTGGCATAGTTCAGTTGATAAAGTTCAGCTCTCGTAACTTAACGTATAACGATGATTGAAATACAAATTTATTAAAAGATTAATTTTAATCTTTGGGTAATTACATGAAATTATTTAAAACTTGGTTTACAATTAATCATGGAACTGAATTTTCAACCAGCCTTTCATGATGCGTATAAAACTATTACCTAAACCCAACTTAAAGTAGAAAAAAACTTTTTTTTTTTTTTTAGCCACTTGAACGTAATAAAAATGATGCATAATATGATCGAAGATGGAAAAAATCGAAAACGATTAGATAAGTTTAATTTAAGGGTCTTCTTTATCCTCATTGTCTCTTGAGTTACTGAGCTTTGAAACGAGAGATTACAGATAATAATAATAAATTATTTCTTCCGTATTTGGGGCGAAAAAAGAAGACGCCACAAATATTATTATTATGTGATGCATAGGTCATGTGAAAGGTGTCTTTCCTTGACACTTGGAATGATCAAGATATTATTTTCAATTAACGCTCGCTTTTCTAATTGACTGAGAGAAAAACACTGCTCCCCTTGCCAAAAATATCAATGCTGAAATCAGTCGTAAATCACATTGTTGATTCCGCGTTGAATCAGCATTGGTTCAAATCAATATGGTAGATAACTTCAAAGTCATGATTTTTTCACGTGAGAATTGCAGTTGCGATTCAAATGAATTATTTTCAAACTTTTAACTTTAATACCGTCAAGTATAAAAATAAAGCAACGTTGATTCAACGCTAAATCAGCATTGATTCAACACGGAATCAACATATAATCATTGATATAATTTACGACTGAATTTAAAGTGTATAGTATGATGTAAACTTCTTAGGTACTTGTGTAATTCATCTAATCTTCATTATTTTTTAATACGTATAAGTGCGTCAACTTTAAAAAAGTATAGTTTATATGTTTCCCGCTTTAGGGCGCATTCTTAAATCACTAATTGGAATCAGATCACTAAAAACTAGCTTGACCTCAAAGTAAAAGGTCGAAACCTGAAGTTATATTCATATAATTATTTTTTCACGTTCACGCGGCATTTCACTGATCTGATTAAATAGCCATCAGATTTGAAAAATTTGGCTCTGGATCTCTGCACAACTTATCTTGATCCCATTCTAATTGTTTTTGTGTTGACAGTCAAATATGACTTTTTAATTCACCGCAAACGTGTCCTACTGATCCTGTACGTTCTTAGTTGTATTTTTTTTCTATTTCCTACAGCAGATCGTATATCATACATAACAATTAAAGGTACGTATAAATGGTACAACGTACATATTTTACATATGCAATGACACTTGTATGTGTTTGCATTCGTCTCTGTATATTATAATTTGAGCCAAGTTTTTATGTACTTAGACTCGTACAATTAAATTTCCAGATTTTACGAAAATGATCGAGTGCCAACTGTCGAGGACGGGCGAGACGGGCGAAATCCCGGTAACCCAAGTGTTCTACTCGTTCCACGACTCGCCCTACGGGAGCTGTTTGATAGCATTCGTTGAGGACAATAAAAACAAGGAAAAGGTAATCTGCCACTTGGTGTTCGTAGACGAGAACAGCAAAGCCGCCAAGGAAGAAAAAGAGAAGCTCTTGCGGCTGAGATTCCCGGGCGCCCAGTTCCACCAAGAGAGCAGGCAAACCAAAGAGCTGGTGGACAAAATCTTCTACAAGGACCACCCGGAGAGCAAAACCCGACTACGGGTACTGCTCAAGGGAACCGAGTTTCAAATGAATGTCTGGGAAGAGTTGACGAGGATTCCCGTGGGAACTCTGGTGACGTACGCAGAGGTAGCCCAACAGGTGGGCAAACCCAAGGCAGTGCGAGCGGTCGGGAGTGCTCTGGGGGCCAACCAAGTTGTTTACTTGATCCCCTGCCACAGGGTCATTTGTAAATCGGGCTACAACAAATTTACCGGGTGCGTTCAGAGAAAGATTTCAATGCAAGAGTACGAGCGTAATTACGTCGATCAGAATAACACTACTTCTAGGTTCTTCAAAGCCTAGCAGGAAAGTGTCTTCAGAGCTTGGATGGAAAATAACGTCCAACTGCTATCGCGCGTTTTTGAAACGTTTATTTTGTCATTCTCGTCTTAGGCTATGAGATCATGTACCTTTTGTTATCTCTTTATGTATAAAGAGCACCCCTCCAAGTACGTTTTTTTCGATAAACTTTTGAACTTGTTCATTTCGCTATAAAATATGTCAGTTTGTTGTAAACATTGTAAATAGAGGTAGTGTGTTCAATTAAAACAAAAAGGAACAACAATAATTATTCAATAGGTCGACCTGTACATACAGCATTTGATGATCATTTGTAAGTTGTAAAAATTAAAATGAATTCTTGTTGAAGAAAAAAAAATTATTTTATCATTGAAATATTGTGGTGTATACTCATTATTTTCCAAAGTATGAATGAAGTGAGCCAATAATGAGGTATAGTTTTAAGAGCTGGGCTTAGGAGCGATTATTGTAAATACATTTGACTGTAAATCAGTTTCCAATTGAGAACAAAGTTTAGTTGATTAATGGCACCGGAATAAGCAGGAAATTCTAAATAAACTCGATAATTATCTTTTACTTGTTTTAATGTTTATGTACTAAGCTAATTATACCAAAAGATGCTACAGAAAAATTTTTTGACACCGTGCTTGAGCTTGTTATGAGTATTTTATCAAACATCTCACATAGCAGAACACTCATGTCATCGTGTAGTATTCATAATCACATAAACTAGAATTTCATTCGTAATACGTGACAAGATTTTTTCATCTTTCATTTTATCGCGTGAAAACAAATTTTCCCAGACATAAACGTTGCCTTTCTTTTATAGGGACAAATATTAAAAATAATGTCACCAATCGGATACACCAATTTTTAATCTATTTCACTTATTAGTAACATTTTAATGGGAAGTAATTTATTAGTGAATACAATGAAAATTGTAACATTTGCATTTAAAGTAAATGATTACATTTTGATGTAACAGTGAATCAGATGATTATTACTAAAAATGGGTGTGTTGCATTATTATTATCAGCAAATTTTTTTTCCATCACTATTTGTACATCAACATTATTAAACAAAAAAATTTCCAAAAAAAAAAACCTATAATTTTTTTTTCTGCCGAATGATACAATGTAACTATTTTTTCTGCGAAAAATACCATAAAATTCCAACTATCTAGAAAGTACAAAAAAAAAATCAATGATAAGCTTAAAATTCCCGAGATTATATACAGCCGTAAAAGGCATATGCATGTGAAAATAACTTGTCGATCAAAACGAGCCACTGTCTCTTTAGACGCGTGAAAAAAAAAAAAAAAAAAAAAGAAAAGAAACTCCAGATCGCTCGGAAATCTCTATCTGCCTCTTCGTGCATTTCTCGCCGAGGAATCTCTCATGACTTGCGTATTAATAAGTCAGATTAAAGAGTTTCTTTGACAAAATAAATAAAATACATTTTGCATTAGAATATATAAGTATGCCCATCCTCGGAGCGATGAGACGGTCGAGAGTTATACAATTGAGCAAGTCATCGTAACGACGTTCGATCCCGCGCATGTGAGGACTTGCACTGTTTTCGACAGCAAAAAGGGATTTTTCATGAGTTTCTTATCTAAACGACGGGGTCACATAGTTACACACGCGCGTATATGTGTGCGGGTGGACAGTGACATTTTTCAAAGTCAAGGACGTCATTTCGCGCGCTCTTTTCTATAACGGATTAGTTTTTTTTTTTTTTTTTTTTTACTTCTCTGTAGCCGCTTTTTTTTTAAATTCCCAAAGTAGATGAATGGACGCGTCGAGGCCATTTTTAGTACTTTAATTATTGTTAGTTCTAGACATGATTCAAAATGTGTATATCCATATTTACGTATTTCTATAGATCGACGAGTGGGTACAACAAATTTTTGGCTACAGGTTTTTGGACATGAAATTTTTGAATACGCGAAAATCGGTAATGAAACTTTACATTGTGGAGTCAACATTGTAGTAACGACGTACCAACTGTACCATGGGAATTTTTTTTTTCTACGCACATAAAAATTGAATTAATAATTTAAAAAAATATATCGTTGGATGAATCGACGCCAACAGCGATGATTTGCTTGTGTTGTTGAATAAAGGACTGGTTTTGAAAATTTTATTATCTTTGTTATGAAAATATAAGAAAAAAAACATTTAAAGTAAACTTTCATGGTAAATAAATGAGTGGAGCGTCAACCGAGGTCACACAATTTCCTCGCGTTTCATTCAACTATAGTTACTCTTGAAGATCACATTGCTGACCAGTGAGCAAAAATCCAAAAACTGGAGAAAAATAAGTAGAAAAAACACATTGTCCTGCTGCCTGTAAATGTAGTCTGCCGGAGAGGCTGCACGTGCAGCCGCTTCTGTCTTTTTCCGCGTTTACACGAGACTCGAGACGAAACTGTCAGTGGTGGGAGAGATACAAAGTGTATAAAAAGGGCCAAGCCGCTCGGGTTTACAAACTTCAGTCTCGAGTGTCAAACAATTCGGACACTCGTTGCACGATCGGTTTTACACATCAAGTAGTTATGTTGGCCCAAGTTAAAGTAAGTCTCGGCTCAAAATTACATTTTTTTTCCCCCTGCAAAGCTTTAAATTTCGCAGATGGTGATTTTAGATTTTTTAAAAGCAAAACGTTAACTTTGAGCCATTACCGATTTTTAACGGTTTGCCAATTCCATCTTCCAAAAATATACGATTGAAAAAAAAAAAAAAAAATTCCAGCAGTCAGCCGCGACGACCGGTATGTTCGATCCGTCGGAAAAGCTACGGCCGGAGAACATTTACAACGGCAAGTTCGAGAGCGACTTCCGGGACTACTCCGTGGACCCGGACGACCCCATCAAAGAGCGCGTCCGCAAGACTTACTTGAACATGCACGCGCACCAGACCGTCGACTTTGTGCGCTGTGAGTAAACATATACTTTTACACCTTCCTCGGGTTCATTGACAGTGGAAAAAGTTGGATTTCGAGATGTATTTTTCAGACATTACCGCAAAGTTGCCGAAAGTTCTCGTTGTGATGGTTCAAGTCGAATGTCATTCAACCCGAAATTTTTAGTGTACGGATTTTTTTTTTTTCTATCATTAGAACCTTCAAAAATACGTTGGAAAAAAAATTGCGCATCTCAACGTGTTTGCAAGTTCATAAAACTATTGCGTCCCATCCGGACCTCTGCAAACAATTTTCACGATTTAGTGAGATTACGTCGTGATGTAGAGAGTATCTTGTTTACGTCAGAGTTTTATTTCACGCGATAACGTCAAGCAGAACTCGCTTGATCGGTACAGTATATTATTGTTTTTCTTCGAATATTTGAAAAAATAAAATTTCGAAACAGTGAAAACAAATAACGCAAGAGTACGCATACATTTTTAGAACTAAAAAGTTTACCAAGGCTACGTAGAGCACGTGACGCTGAAAAACAATCATTTACATCCCATTCGTATCAATTAACAATGTTTTTTTTTTGTCTCGACTCTCTAAGCTCGACTGACGAGCTGGTTGAAATTCGACAAGTGCAAGATGAGCATAAAGGAAGCCTTGACGAAACTGAACGAGCTCATCGACGAGAGCGACCCCGACTCCAGTCTGCCGAACATAGTGCACGCCTTCCAGACAGCCGAGAAAATCAGGGCAGATCATCCGCACCAGGACTGGTTTCACCTCATCGGTCTCATTCACGATCTTGGCAAAGTCATGGCCTTCTACGGGGAGCCACAGTGGGCCGTTGTGGGCGATACGTTTCCAGTTGGCTGCGCCTGGGGCGACTCCATTGTTTACAGAGACACCAGCTTCGACGACAACCCTGATGGCAAAGATCCGCGTTACAAGTGTGTAATTCAAGTTCGTTTTTTCTTCTTCCGCGACTCGATTCGCCGACTCGTCAAAGAGCATCATTAGTAGTAGTAGTATACTGATCTTTAATCAAATACACGCATTTTGAGGAAACGTATTTTTAACATTTTAGCACAAAGTACGGAATGTACAAGCCAAAGTGTGGTCTTGACAATCTGATCATGTCGTGGGGCCACGACGAGTACCTGTATCGGGTGCTTAAACACAATAATAGCAAACTACCAAAAGAAGGCCTGGTTATGATTCGTTACCACTCGTTCTATCCATGGCACGCGGGTGGCGACTACACGCACTTCTGTACAGAAGAGGATGATCAGATGCTCGAGTGGGTTTTGGAGTTTAAGTAAGTCTATTGATAGTGTACCCCGAGAATTTATCGTTGGCGCGAAATTCATGCAACCGAATGTACTGATTGTAAATTTATTCTCTACCCCAGCAAATACGACTTGTATTCCAAGAGCGCGGGAGTACCTGATATTGAAGCACTATGGCCGTACTACGAAAAACTTATTGAAAAGTACATTCCAGGAGTGCTCGAGTGGTGAAGAGCTTTTAGAACAATTTTACGTTTAACTTACGTAGTAGTAAGAATTAATTAAGACTAATAATTAACTTAACAAAAATCAAGACTAGCTTTTTTTTTTATTCCCACATCTTTAACATTTAACTTTAAGGCTCAATCATTTGTAGAAAAACCATTATTTCTTAGATTATGTATAATTAAAGTTTTCATACTTAAATACCTAATACTCTGTTTTCACAACGATTATTCATTCCTTTGTCTTTTTTTCGATTTACATGAACTCCTTATTGGTTGAGAGGGTTTGATTTCCTCGGCAACATCCATCGCTTCATCTTCATCCTCCTGACTATTATTTTCGGAATTTAATACTACATCTGTGGGAAAAAAGTTTATTTTAAATTTTCCGCGCTTTGATATGAATTTTACATTTAGTTGCCAAATACTTTACCAGATACATCGTAGTCATCCCACGGTTGTTTACAGTTGGGACATTGATTTGTTTTCTGCATAGCTGTATACTTGGCCACACAATAATTGTGATACATTTCCTCGCAATTTGGACACTTTTGACCCTAAAACCAAGAATATATGGTACTACTAATCCGATGGTTCACAAACTGCAAAGTATACTCGTGACTTACCGCGAACAAAACTTCCTTGCACAAACGACAATTGTGAAAATTGTCCGCATACGTTGCCCTGAAGTAAGGCATCATTTCCACAATGCTTCTCACTCCGATAAAAACCGAACCATCCTGAAACAAGACAAATGCTGATGATTATTATTCAACTCACTTGATATTCCGATAAACCCACCTTCAAGTGCAACCATTTATGCGCCGCGACTTTTTTAAGAAACTTGTCGGCCTCGCTTAATGAAAACTTCATATCAAGCGTTCCAGTCAAATTCAGGCATTCCGTGCTCGATATGTACCCATCCTCGGAATTGATGATCTCGGAATAAACGGCTCGCAAAAAAGCTCTCTCTGCCTTCGAGAATTCGGACGGTAGCCTGGAGAGATCGGAAAAAAAGTCGTCGAATGAAAATTGCCGATGCAAACATAAATATCTCTCTATGTGTATATTAGAAGTGACAAGTTAGTGATTACATGACAGCGTCCTCGTGGGTGGTGCCAACGACGCTCCAGTACGTCTGGCCTGTCAACTCGCACGTCCCGGCTTTCATGGCCATCGCTATGGGAGACAACTTATCGTTTATGAGCCCAGCTACTCTTTCCACGCTTATCCTCTCGTCTGTAAATTTTTTTTTTTAATGTTCAAACGTGTTGATTTTAAAAATAAAGTTACTGGGATAATTAGAACTGAATGTAACGTTTTCACTTCTACGTTCCGGTGTCATTTGAATTTAACTAGAGTATTTCTTTTTTTAAGGACCGATTGTTCATATAATTTACTATTTTTGTGATCGAATCGGTAAAAAGTAAAAAAAGAAATAAGCGGTCTGCTGTGCTTAATTTTTTGTTTCCCGCGTGTCAGAAAAAGATAAACATAGGCGTTGAGGTTAGGTTGTCCAAAAAAATATACACAAGCTTACTGAAAATCCTGTAGCACAAGACTGTTGCATCCTCTCCACTGACAGCTCCTCCCTGCATAATGGCTTGCAGAAACGTCCGATGACGATCATCGTAATCCTGAACCATTGTCGAATTACTTCTTTTCTTTTGCAAAAATAATCAAACGATTTTACGCAACTTGACTTTACCTAATGAATTTCATTCGTTCACCGTCGGTAATTCAGAGCTACCAACGTTGGAATGTGAAAAAAAAAATTGTTTATCGAAGGCTTGCCCCACTGATACGCGCTTTTTTGAATTGGTGCAGCAGTAAAACTGTCAGACTGAAAAATTAACAGCGTGAATAATGTTTGATATTGCAAGATTTAAATAAAACAAATTTATACACGTTTCATAATCAATTTATTTCTGTATACAATGGAACTTCTTACGGTGTTACACTTTGTTTTTCCAGCAAAAAATGTTTACAAGCAACAAACACCTTTTCTTTCAGTTACAAAAAACAGATAGTTATGACACGGCTTTGTCACCTCCACATTAAGAACATAAATTTTTATTCGGCATCATCAGCGAACAATATATTTAATCTTTAATGTGATTTGAGGTGGCAAGAGTTGTGTATCATAATTATCAAGAAATTTATCCTAACTTCGATTATCGGGACGTCTTTGATTCCTTGGCGTTCTGAAGGCTTTGCGTAATATATAACTTGGCTAAACTTTGAGCACAGAATTGTGATATGTGCTGGCTGTAAGTGTTGATTTGTCCAGCTGTGATCATTGGGTTGAGCCTGAGTGGCACAGGAATTGGCCGAATCAGCTTGTTAAGGTCCTCTTCGGGTAGAGGTGGTTCACCCTTGGCAGCACGAACGTTGTTCTCTTGTTCCCTCTTGGCCTTTAACCGATTCTTGTCTTGCTGTTGGCGCATCACTAAGCTCTGGTAACGGTTGAACTTGATTGCTTCCTGGTTGAGCTCGTCGACTCTGTCCATCATGCACCTCAGTTGATTCTCCAAAACACTTGCAGTTCCCAGATCCAAATATTTAGTGCCCTCTTCCTCTGGTATCATTTCCTCGAGCTCTGACATGACAATGTTCGTAAGAGCACTATTTCTTATGTAAATTGGCAGCTCCACAAATAGACTTTCGTAGCCAATTTTCAAATTTTTAAGGGCTTCAGGAGTGAAGTCTTTGTCCTTGTACATCTGGATAGCTTGGGGAGTCAATCTGTAAGCCTTTATGGTCAGGAAACCTCTTGCTGATTTTGCAGTGTCATAAATGATGACCACGGATTCTTCTATGAAGGTTTGATAATTGTATTGCGATTCCAAGAGTGGTAAGCTCAAAAAGTTGCCAACATCTGCACTTTGGTACCATCCAACATGAAAGTGGTCAACGTTCACGCTGAAAAAATACAAGTTAATACAGTGAATAGAAGATTTTGGCAGTGATTTAGAGCCTAAATTTTAATGCTGTTTTTAATTCATTGAAAACAAGTGACATAATTTGGCCAAAGTATTTTCAGTGTCACAGTTTTAGCCATTTAATAATAGTCAGACTGAGTAAAGACTTTTATTTGACTTCATATGGTATCAATGTAAATAATTATGCTATGTGTATTATTATTATAATAATTATTATAACCAGCCAATGGGTGGATTAATGTCCAATATTACCAAAGTAAAAAATAGAGGAAAAACCTTTCTATCCAAATACAGATTGAGTAACAGGTATTGAATTTCCATATAAATTTTAAAATGCTCAAGTAGAATCATTATAGATGCAAATCATTGATACAAGTTCTACCATACGCAGTTATAGCCAAGGCAAATACAACACCAACAAAGTTCAAAGAATGGTAACTAAAGGATTTGAAGGAAACGCATCTTTGGGGTCCAATTCATGGGATGTAAAATTTGTCCACACCCAGATAAGTAGATATACTCAGAACTTGAAATGTAGAGAAAAATCCTGCAAAACTTACATGCGAAGCCTTCGCATCATGCTCAGCTGGTAGTCCTCTCCATCGACGGCATCATCATTTTTGGAGAAAGGAAAGCAGTTAGTGATTTCGAGGCGTCCGTTGACGTTGAGACCAAGAAGCGCACCATGTGCCACTTCCATGTTACTCGACGACTCTTCGTGACAGTGTTTCACCATCTTCATGACGACAAGGCCGTCGCACTGCACATAATTTATGCGTGGTTCCATCTCCTGAACGCGCCTTTGCCTATTTCCTCGCGACATTTTTCGTCCTTGCAATTATTGAATACCTTTTCGTAAAACCAAACTGACACGAAAACTGATCAGAGTATCAGAGTTTGTCGGGAATGTCTGAATTATCTGACTTGTATCCCTAACCACAATTTACTTTGGGGTGAAAGGAGAGAGAAAGAGCCAAAGAGGAGCGACACAGCGACAGCGACTGCACTGCACTGCCAAATTAAAACGGACACCCGCCGCCCCCGCTGCCTAGCGGCAAATTCAAACGTTCTTAGACCAATTCTAAAACCAATCAACTTAAATTCAAGCTCTTTTGACTTATGACCCTTAACTTAATCCTTACCCCAAGTACTTTAACCCCATATCCTTGTACTCTTAAGCCCTTAAACCAAACGACTCGAACTGTGGAGTTAAATTTGTTAATAATTTCATTTTTTTACTAACAATAAAAGAGCTACTCATCACAAAAAAAAAAAAAAAAATAACTTATAAATCATTTGAATGATCTTTGTAGGTTGAAAAAAAATATTGATTATTGAAGTTACTTGGTTATCCTATTAATAAAAGTTATTAAAAAATAAAATTTCTCGTTTTGAAGCGTTTAAGCCTCTTTTATTCCAAGTGCTTTTACCCTAGACAATGATCTAGGACAAAGTAGATCATAATTCAATTTTTTTTTAATAAGAATACAACTATAAAATTATAGCAAACTAATATTTTAATGACTTGCATATTTTAAGATCACTTTTCTGAAATAGTTCACTGGACTTATAAGTTATTTAGCCTTGTACAATTCAACTTCAGTAGTTGTAAAAGTTTTAAAGTTGTGACACTCGAAGTTGTTCTTAGCACTTTTTGCATAAAAATTGTAACGAATTTGTTAAAGTGATTAGTAGTTTATTATAATCAACTGATATAACTGAACGCATCAGTTTATTGCGTTGGAATTGCATAGAAAATTATGTTGCTTTTTTTTGCTTTGAAGCGTTCTAAACAAAAACTTTTTTAAGGGTAAACTATGAAAATGGTGTACAAGTTATTTCCTTTTCTTAAGATAAGTAACCCTTTTATAGTTGATAGTAATTATCAACCAATTAAACTCCACATCCAGGGTTATTTTATTAAAGCACTGAAGAGTACAGGGTTATGGGGTTAAAGCACTTGGCTGAAGGCTGAAGGGTTAGGAGATCAAGGAATTGGGAGTGAAAAATTATGTTTGTAAATAATTTTTATTGATAAGCTCACCGAGTCATTTCATTTATTAACAATTTTATTGAACCTAAAAATACCATTTAAATGATTTACAAGTTGTTTCATTTTTTTGTGATAAGTAGTGCTTTTATTGTTAATAAAAAAAATGAAATTATTAACTCATTGAACTCTACACCCCGGGTCATTTGGTTTAATTAAGAGTACAGGGTTATGGGGTTAAAGTACTTAGTTTAGAGAGCTTAAGAGCTTGAATTCAAGTTGATTGATTTAAGAACGTTTAAATTTGCCGCTTTTGGCCAGGCTAACTTGGTTATCGACAACGGATGGACACTGCAGCATTGTAAATGCTGACGATAGTATAACTGAATCTCCGACCGCGTGGCGGCATGCAGTTAACACTCTTCGACACATTTCATGAATATCATCGTTTGTGAAATACCGAATAGTTAAAATGAAATGAAAAGTTTATAGGAAATTAGAAAAACGAGGTTTCCGCTCGATACATCCATTTTAAACCCTCCCAAAGAGACAGCGACCCGTTATCGGTTTCTTTAGTTCGCTCCCGCATGTGGCGAAAAAGTGTCTGGTTAGTATATATAGACCAAATTGACAACAGCCGTTCAGAGATGTGTGCTCACTGGCTCATGACGTAAGTCTACAGCCATCCACGTGGACGGACTCGGTTTGAATAGTTTGCTACGTAGTAGTAGCTCACCAACCCGTACCTACAGGTAAGTGAGGTAAGTAGGACGTGGGTGACTTGCTGGTGCGTACATATTTTTTGTTTTTATTTTTACATTTCTGTTGAAAATCATTGGTCTGCTTTATTATCTGCGTTTTTCCAAACCACATTCCTCTTTTCTTCATTTCTTTTTACAAAGGGTTGAAATTTTGAGAAATCAAGAAAAACATACGTCCGCTGCTTTAACTTAATATAATTTTCCAACATTAGTCAACTTACATACTGTTATCTGTCAAATTATTATAAAATTTTTTGTTTTCAGTTACAATTTGTTTAAACAGCCTTTTATTGTATATTTTCTCATTATTTTGTTTTCTTTTGAAAAATCCTTTTGTGTCCAACATATTCTTTTTTTGTATACGTACTAAAAAAACGGCTACTGAATATATAATCGTAATTTTTTAATATGCCTTTAATTTTACTTAAATGCGATTTTTAATAAAGTCTTAGAATTTTATATTTTTGAATCATTCGTTACTACGTACACAAAGTAATAACATAAATAAACTAATTTAAAAAAAAAAAAAAAAAAAAACTGATGGAGCAATTTTATTTCAAAAAAATTGTTCATCATTATGTAGCATAAAATTTTTGACTTCGATTATTTTTCATTAAAATACAACATCATAAAATATTAACACATGTCGTATACTGCTATCAATTTATATGGTTACTGTCACTTTTTTATTTATTTATTTTTTCTTTTCAAAACGTGTAACTTATTCCACAATGTAAATTTTCACATTAATTGAAATGGATATCCATATTCTTTTTAAGAGTTAGGAGCTTAAGAGATTGGGAGTAGAAAATTATGTTTGTTAATAATTTTTATTTATAAGCTAACCGAGTTATTTCAGTTATTAACAATTTTATTAAACCTAAAAATACTATTTAAATGATTTACAATTTTTTTCATTTTTTGTGATGAGTATAGTAAAAAATTGAAATTATTAACTAATTGAACTCTACATCCTAGGTCATTTGGTTTAAGGGCTGAGGAGTATAATAAACATCGTTTGTTGCAATAATGTATATACATGTAAGTACGTATAAGACAGCCGAAATAAACGGAAATTTTACAGACAAATTGGTAAAAATAACGATAACAAAGATTTTGATGGCCATTAATAATATTCTAATTATCATCGACATTATAATTTTTTTTATTGGTTTTATTATCATTACTATTATATACCTACTATTATCTGCTGCCCCTTACTATTATTTCAATTTCGTTACTGAATTTTCTGATAATTTCTCTTTTTAGTTTTAATTTAGTTTTTGTTTGGGGGGAGGGGGCAAAACAACAACTTTTTAATAAATTTACTCCAGTTAAACTGATTTTCTAGACCTTATGGCAAAATGAGTATCATAAAAGTAAAAGCAAGTCAATGTCCTCGAACAAAAGTTATTCGTATTAATACGATTGATTTCATTAGAAGTTCGTTTAGAAATAAATATTTTGAAAAAAAAAAAAAAAAAATTTGTTCGTAAATAACTGATCTACTTACTTTTTATTAAAATTGGAGATTGTATTCAAGTTAACAAGTATTTGATAAAAATTGTTATTGCACTATTATAAGTTGATGATTTGCTTCGATTCATGATTCGAAAAAAATATCGTATTTTCTCTTTAATTGAAAAAAAAACTCTGACCACATAATTAATTCTAATCGAAATAAAATGATATACTATTATAGTTCATGAAATGTAATTATTTTGAACTTTTTTTCACCACACAAATTGTTAAACACTTTTTTTTAAAAAATCAAAAAACACGTAGTCTACACCTCAATATGGTACAAAATTGTATTATGTTTGCACTGCTGTGAGGATGAAAAAAAAAAATTCAGACCATAACAAGACATTACCTCACACATAAATACGTATGTATACAGAGAGAAAGAGAGAATTATTTTTCCCGAATGACTTATTTTGATCCCTAAAAATAAAACACAGCTGCATTTCGTTTTTGATTGAAATTATGAGGAAGCAAAATATTCTTTAAAAGCCTATGATGATAAAATAAGTTTAATATATTAAACTATTACTATAGTAAATGGCAAGTGATAAAATTATAACTACAGCCAACAAACTACAATACCACCATTTAACTATTATTTTGCGGAGTTATTAAACAAAACATTTATTTAATAGACACTGCAAAAGAAGAAATCTTCATTCCACTATTCCTACGTCAGTATCGCTACTGAAAGTACTGACAGAACCGTGTAGAACTCGTGGACATCCATTTCCTCTTCGACTTCTTCACAAAATTGTATTCAAACACACGAGTTCTCTCTCTTTGACGATCATCGACTTTCTATAACACAACATAATTACATACACAGTGTACAACACAGTTGACGATTCCACTGATTCAAACTAATTGAATCAATCGTGGACATCCATTTCCTCT